AGCCTTGCCTCTCTGGAACTCTCTGGCTGTACTGAGTCCAAGACAGATCTGCTGGTCCTTTGAGCGGTCTCTGCCAGTTCCACACTTACAACCCAAGCACACTGTTTCTTCTTTAGTCTGCCTTATTCACGTCTAACTTTCCCATGCAAATGAGGCAACTGAAAACACCATGACTTGAGTCAGGCATACCTTCATCCTCCCTGCATTTCATTACTCTAAAGGGGTCTTGTGCAAGCAGATTTACCCAATGCAGCACAATGCAACGGTTTATGGGATGCTAATGTGGGCATGGGTCAGTTTTAACGTCCCACTAGGCTTTAAAACAATCCATCCCACAGGTGAAAGGGAATTGCATTACCATCCAGAAAGATGAACCAGGAGTGGAGCCTATTTGTTAGGATACCAGAGACAGTGCAAAATGGCAAGAAGTAGTGGTAGTATAGGTAGCAGAACCAAGAGTGGTGGGTTTCTGGGCCATGGAGCTAAAAAGCAGAGTGCTACAGACAGGAGGCTTGCTGGTAAAGTGGGGAGTCTTCAGGCATTTGTCAAGGAGCTGGAGTTTTCAAACCACAGAACTAGAGTTGAACCCCTTCAAGCAGAAGCTTCTTGCTAGAGTGAAAGGGAAATGAGGAAGGTGCAAGGCAGCGCCTTCAGTTAGTGAACTAATGCCATTCTCTGTATTTCCCCTCTCTCTCCAAATGAAGGTTAAATGCAGTGCCATATTCTGGCTCTAGCTTTCAATATACCGTATCAGGGGGTTCCATTTTGAAAGATGACATGGATGGGATGACCTCCGCTCCCATCTGCACTCTGATTCGCCAGAGGAAAGCGTGGACACGACGCAAAGCCTCCAGCACTGCTGCCAGGTCCAAGTGCCCTGCCCACAGAAAGGCTTTGAACAAAACCGTGCTCTTCTTTAGCTCCGCCTTTTCACACTGACCACCTCTTTGCAGCTGGAGGCCGGTGAGAAGGCTGGGAAGAGAGGGAGGAATACACGCCTTCAGTCTTGGTGAGCCTCCCAAAGGTTGGAAAAGGAAAAACGAGGAGAACCCGGAACAACTCAAATTAGAATTCTCAGATGACAAGACAGTGGTGCTTGTACTTAAGAGCAGAATGCATTTCCTTCTGCAAATTGTTTTTCCCTTCCTGGTCTGTTGTTTGGTCAGCTGGTAGTTTGATTAACAGGTTGGCCAGTCCATGTATCCAACACCCATTTCCAAAGCAATAATTGGGACAAACAGACGTAGCTGTCTGTTACTGAGTTTACCTACCTTCACGTTTTTTGCCTTCATTTTGACCTTTGAATACCGGCATTGCAGGGAGTACCAACTGTAATTCCCGGGGATTTCTGTAAAGGAGATGAAATGATGCAGAATGAGAATTTCTTAGGTCAATCTTGTTTCATTCAAGTATGTGCTTAAGAAATTTTGAGGGAGCGTAATACCTCAAATCCCAAATAATTTACTCCTAAAATTAATATGTTACATTTTAGAATTCATTTCATATATCATTATCATAATGTTATATTTTCAAAACTTGAGAGATATATTCCACTGTATGGCAACCAAGTCAAAACTGATTTCTAGAATCTGTCAGAAAAATTATCTGAAACACACTGTCTCGCTCTCTCACTACCTCACTCTCTCACTCCCTCACTCTCTCTCACTGCCTCGCTCTTTCACTCTCTCACTGCCTCACTGTCTCACTGCCTCACTCAGTGACTCACTCTCTCACTCACTCACTCACTCACTGTCTCACTGTCTCACTGCCTCACTCACTCACTGCCTCCCTCGCTCTCTCTCCCTCACTCCCTTGCTCACTCACTGCCTCACTCACTCACTGCCTTACTCTCTCACTCTCACTCACTCACTCACTCTCACTCACTGCCTCACTCACTCAGTGACTCACTCTCTCACTGCCTGACTTACTCACTGTCTTACTCCCTCACTCTCACACCCTCGCTCTCTCTCACTGCCTCGCTCTCGAAAAAGAAAAAAAAAAAGAAGAAATAAAATTATCTGAAACTTAGAAACACAGTTATCTTTCAAGGAAATGGTGGGCTTAAATTCTTGATTAATTTTACATTGACTGAATTATTTTATAAGGAGCCTTGTAATCATGCAGGACTGGTGTTGGGTTGTTAATCTCAAGGTCAGCAGTTCAAACCCACCAGCTACTCTGGAGGAGAAAGGTGAGGCGCTCTGCTCCCATAAAGAGTTACTGTCTTTGAAACCCTATATAGGGTTGCTATGAGTTGGAATCTTTCTCAGAGGGTTTTGTTTGAGCATAGTGGTTATATGTTGGCCTGCTAACCACAAGGTCAGCAGTTCAAAACCACCAGTCATTCATCAGGAGAAATAGGAAGCTTTCTACTCCTGTAAAGAGTTACCAGTCTCGGAAAGCCACCGGGGCAGTGGTACCTGTCCTACAGGGTCACTATGAGTCAGAACTGACTTGATAGCAATGAGTTGGTTTTGGTTTGGTTTATAAAGGTAGAGGTTAACTTCAGATTACTATCTAGTAAAACTCTAAATATTTTATGTCTAGTGGAAAAGACAACTTAAAAAGCTACGATTTCTTATTATAGTAAACTATGTATTAAGATGTATGATCTAAATCATATTTAAGTTTACAGTGCAGTGACATTAATTATATTCACCCTCACCACTATTTCTAAAAGTTCTTACCCCTCCAAACAGAAACAGTACCCACTCCATCCTCCCCTCTCTCAGCCCTGGCAACTGCAAGTTCAAGTCTACTTTCTGTCTCGATGTATATGCCTGTTCTATATAGTTCAGAAAGGAGCCCTGGTGGTCTCGTGGCTATAATCCACACAGGATCAGCAGTTGGAAACCATCTTCAGCTCCGAGGGAAAAAGACTGAGATTTCTACTCCTGGAAATGGTTACCATCTGGAAAACCCACTGTGAGTCAGCATTGACTCAATGGCAGTGAGTTTGGTTTTTTTTTTAATATATCTCATAAGCGTGTAATCACATGTCCTTTGTTTCCAATTTATTTTACTTAGCATAATGTTCTCAAGGCTCATCAATGTTAAGTAGATAGAAGAACTTCATTTTTCTTTATGGATGAATAATATTTCGTTATACACACACACACACACCACTTTTTATGCGCTCATCAGTTGATGGGCACTTGGGCTATTTCAACCTTTTGATTATTATGAACAGGGCTGCAATGAACATTTGTGTATGAATAGGGCTGTAATGAACATTTGCATACACATATGTTTGAGTTCCTGCTGAAGTCTTTGAGCTCTGTACTAGGAGCGGAGTTGCTGGGTCAAATGTCAATCCTACGTTTAATTTCATGTGGAATTGCCCTGCAATTTTCCATAATGGCTGTAACATTTTACATTTCCTCCAGGATGCATGGAGGTTCCAATTTCTTCACATTCTCGTGAACACTTGTTATTTTCCACATTTTCCCTAGAGTTAGCCATCCTAGTGTATGTGAAGTGCTATCTCATTGTGACTTTGATTTGCATTTCCCTAATAATCTTGAACATCTGCATCTTTTCATGTGTTTATTAACCATTTGTATACCTCCTTAGCAAAATGTTTATCCAAGTCCTCTGCCTATTTTTAAATTGGGTTTTTGCCATTTGGTTGTTGAGTTGTAAGAGTTCTTTCTGTATCTGGGATATTAAACCCTTATTAGATATGTGATTTAAAATATTTCTCCCCCCTCCCCCCAAGAATTCTTTTAGAGGAGAGCACAGAAGCTACAGCTCAAGGAGTGGGACGTATCTGATCAGAGCACACAGGAGCAAACGAGGGGGAGTAAAAAAGAGTAAAGCACATTCTAGCCCACCAAGCCCTGAGGACAGTATTTCTGCTCAGAGCAACCAATGCACAGAGACACGATGGCCCCACCATGAGACACAATGTTCCTCACTGACCCATAGCACCAGGGGACAACACTGGAGACACACAGCGGGAATTGTGCCCGTCCTGAGCCCACCACACCAAGGTGAGACACTGGGGGCGTGCAACAAAGCAGTAAGGGGAGCAGAGCAATGAAGTCCCCAGGGAATACCAAAAATAGACTGTGGGGCCAGAGCATGGCACCCCATCAGACTCAACTGGAAAACACTTGTAAAGGACAACAAATAGACCTTGAACGATTTATAGGCTTTTCTTTCTTTCTTTCTTTCTTTTTGTCGTTGCCTTTTTGTTGTTGTTGTAGCTATTGTTTTATTTTCTATTGTTGTTTTATTGTGCTTGGTCTTGTGTTTGTGCATATTGTTGTCGCTGCATGTCTATCTGGAAGGGATAGGCGGGATAAAAAAAGCCGGAAGAGAGGACAACAGGGTGACAGTTCCGGGGGGACCTGGGACAGGGGGAGGCGGGAGCAGGAAGTGGTGTTAACAAACCCAGGGACAAGGAAACAACAAGTGACCAAAAATCAATGGCGAGGAGAGTATTGGAGGTCTGGCAGGGCTTGATCAAGGGCAATGTACCGAGAGGAATTCCTGAAATCCAAAGAAAGGCTGAACATGATAGTGGAACAAGAGGAAAGTAAAAGGAAATAGAGGAAAGAACTAGGAGGCAAAGGGCATTTGTAGAGATCTAAGTACAGGCATGTACATATGGAAATATATTTATATGTGACAATGGAGAAATAGATCTATGTACATGTATTTATAGGTTTAGAATTAAGGTAGCAGATGAACACTGGGCCTCAAGTACTCCCTCAACACAAGAACACTTTGTTCTAATACTCTGGCACTCTGAGAAGAAGATGCTGCATGGTTTAAAATCAGCCAAAGAGTGTTTTAAGGTTATATTCTTTCACCATATTTATTCAATGTATATGCTAAGCAAATAATCTAAGAGGCTGAACTCTCTGAAGAAGAAGTTAGCATCAGGACTGGAGGAGCACTCAAACCACCTGTGACTCACAGCCTGTTTGCTGAAAAGTGAGCAGGACCCAAGCGCTTACTGAGGACGATCCAAGACTACAGCCTTCATTAGAATTACACCCTGACACCGAGAAAGGCAATGCTCATAATTGGATCAAATAAGCACCCCCACACTAAATGGAGCAAAGACTGAAGTTGCCAGGAATTTCATTTTCCTTGAATCCATACTCAACATCCATGAAAGCAGCAGTCAAAATATCAAGTGATGTGTTACAATGGCCAAATCTGCTCCAGAAGACCTTACAGAGTGTCAAAAGGCAAGGATGTCCCATTGAGGACAAGGTGTACCTGATTCAAGTCATGGGAAGGCTAGACAACAAACAAGGAAATTGAGGAGCATCAATGCCTTTGAATTATGATACTTATGAAAATAAAAAAGAAGAGTTGTACAATCTTTACTGCAATTATTTTTAAAAAATCATTTTATTGGGGGCTCATACAGCTCTTATAATAATCCATACATACATCCATTGTGTCAAACACATTTGTACATTTGTTGCCATCATCGTTCTCAAAAAATTTTCTTTCTACTTGAGCCCTTGGTATCAGCTCCTCATTTTATCTCATCCCTTCCCACCCCGACCACAATTAATTTGAGAACATTTTCTTTTTCCTTGTACTCATTGTTATTCAAGTCATTTTTTAAAAATTTGGCAAAAATATACACAACCCAACATTCTCTAATTCAACAACTTCTACGTATATAATTCTGTGGAAGTGATTATACTCTTCATATTGTACAACCATTAGTAATATCCTTCTCCAAATTGTTCCATTACCATTAAAATAAACTCAATGTCCCTAAGCAGAAACTCTGTCTCCTTCACCATAGTAACCATAGATCAAGCTTGGTTTCTTTTCTTTTTAGTAGTTTTCTTGATATAATATTCACCTATCATACACTTCCATAGTTAAATCGCTTTTTAAAAGAGTTACATATACATCATCACAATCAGTTCTAATGTTCCCTGCCCCTCCCGCATTCATTGATTGCTCCCCAGTTCCCCTCACCCTCCCTACCCGTTCCCCAGAAACCACAGCATCAGTTATTGTCTCTATGCATCCACTCCCGTGCTTCTGAAATAGGGAAACCGAGCAGAAACAATAATACAGGGAATCCAGGATGGATGAGCCCTATAGGACCAGTGGTGTGAGTGGCAAAACAGGGAGGGTAAAGGGAGAATGGGTAGGAAAGAGGGAATCGATTACATGGAACTGTGTGTGACCTCCTCCCTGGGGGACAGACAACCGAAAAGTGGATGAAGGGAGACGTTGGACAGGGCAAGATATGACAAAATACCAATTTATAAACTATCAAGGACTCATGTGGGAGGGGGGAGCGGGGAGGGAGGGGAAAAATGAGGACCTAATGTCGGGGGTTTAAATGGAGAGAAAATGTTTTGA